GTCACTCATTTCACAGAGGAGTAAGCTGAGAGGACAAGTCGGGATAGAACACACTCAGGGCGAGATCAGATCACAGAGCATTTTTGTCTGCGTTTTTTTGATAATAAACTTTTTTACTGAAGTATAAAGATTAAAAAAAACCCAAAACACAATGCTGGTAGAGATCTGGGAGCTCAGCCAGGCCTGCATTCTGGCCAGAGATGAATGAATGTCGGAGGTGGAGGGGACCCCTGGGCCTGCACCTCGCCCCTCTTGGAGGCTGCAGGAGAGCGTTAGCACTGACCCCCCAGAACTGGAAAGGACGGGAGCTGTGCGCACTTTCCAGGGGGTCTGCTCAGCTCCCAGGAAGGGCTGCCAGGCTTCCCTACTTGGGAGCCAGTCTCGAGGCACAGTGCTGAGATTTGTGGAGCCCTGGAGTGGACAGAGATGCCGTCTCCTCTTCCAGGCGTCCCCCAGTCTTTACAAACAGTTCTCCTAGAGCCCCAGATTTGGGCTGGGGGGTGTGAGCACCCACACTCAGAGAGAGAAGCTGCACTTCCCAACAGGCGCCAACTCGCGGCTCAGATGCGCTTCCTCCCGGGGCCTTCCACGTCAGGTCTTTGGCTCAGGGAGGCTCACCTTGGGTGGTGGGTGAGGCTGAAGGACTGGCTTCGCTTTCTCAACGAAGTCCAACATGGACTTGCCAACTGCTGGTTTTTGAATATGGGGCTTTAACTGCTGATCTCAGCTGGGAGCAATGCTTAGCTAACACCAAGTCCCATTCCATATCCTACCCCACTTTCCAATCTGATAATTGTGAGAATGCAGGTGAAGTAGCTGGCACCGGTGGTCCCTGGGAGAAGTGTTTCTCAGGTGGACAGATGAGGAGGGACCACAAATCCAGGGCGCCGAAGGACTCAAAGCAACGCCTAAAGGCCAAGGACTTGAACCCCCTGTGCCTGGGGCCTTCTGAAGCTCACGGTCCGCTTTACTGTGTCTTTTCTCCATGGCTGACACACACACTCCCTCAGGGGTGATGCTGAGATTTCCTCAGGACCCAAATCCCCACTACCTCTTCCTGTGCTGCGGTCCCTCTGGGGAGGGCCCACCGTGACCCTGGCGCTACCCCCTTCTGTACCCAACACCTACCCAGAGCCTGCCGTCCAGGCTGAGCCAGGAGGGCTGTGCAGGCAGCCTCAGCCTCCAAGGATGGAGTGTTTAACTGTCCTCTATGGCCACCATTGCCCAAGCTGTCCTGGCTATAAGCCGTGGGTCTGAGGTGGGGGTGCCCCCGGCCTTCCGTCGCTCTCCTCAGACCAGGCGGCTCCTGTCTTCCCAGGTACCCAGCTGCGTCCTGCCCCTGACCCCCACTTCTACTCCCCACTCTGTCCTTTGCATCTCTCTCCAAGCTTGGCCCAGAGTGGGGCCCAGCCTCTCGATGCCCATCCTGGCTTCCCCATCGACAGTCCCATGGGCCCTGCCCCATCCCGAATCTCAGCACAGGGACCAATGGGGAAGGATCCTCAAAGTCCTCGCAGCTCCCACCCTGGCTAGTGCCCACTCACTCAGAGATGGGCCTGGCATCACTTCCTCTCTCAGTGCCAGTTGCTGACGGCAGGCTGAACTCAGTGCTCAGTGCCAGCTGCTGGCTCCTGGTTCTTCTGTGGCCCAGGGACCCCTGAGCTGATAACAGGGCTGCCATACCCACACACAGCTCATCTCTCCATGGTCTTTCCCATTTCTTTTGCCCCTCTCCTTACAGCCTACTCTTCATGCTGCAGCCCTAAAGGTGTTTGGTTCACTCAGATAACCCCACACTTACCCCTTCGATGGCTTCCATTGTTCTTAAGACATAGACAAAGCCTTAATGTGGTGAGGGGGTGAAGGAAAATACTACAATGTCACACAGCATTTGGGAGTAAGAAGTGGGTTTTGTCCTAAACCACCAAGGGTCAGCAAGAAGAGGCATGCTGTCCCCACTCCGTGTCTGTGTGTGTGGGCCAGGCTGTCACACCAGGGGGCTGTGTGCCAGGGCAGGGACCTGCCCTCTGCTACCGCCCCTTTTTAATGTGTGCTCCAGAACAGCCGTGTTTTCAGGAATGAGTAGCCAAGATCCGGCGCCAGGCAGTCTGGGGGTGGCTGCCAGCCAGGCAGGAGGTGTCTGAGAGCGCCAGCTGCCAGCACCTGGAGACCGCCCTGGAAGCTGGATTCAGGCCACCAGAGAAAAGGGGGCCTGAACACATGGGGAGTAGAGCTCAGGTGCAGACCCTCTTGCTGGGGGAGGAGGAGCCAGCTCCGTGCCTGGCGACCCGAGCTTCTGGGCCCACTCCCTTGGGCGTCCTCACTACAGGCTGGCCTCCTCTCGGACCACAGAATACACACAGCGCCTCTGTGAACCAGCCTTGTTCATGCACTACTCCTGAAATCTTCCCCTACCCCTTCTCTGGGTCTCAGCTCAAACACCACCTCATCAAGGTGTCAAGGAAGCCATCCTGAGGACCTGACTGTTCACAGCCTCCTGTCCATCCTTTGGAGCACTCACGAATGGGGTCATTTATGGTGAAGTGTGGTTGTGTCATATGATTGTGTCTATCTCCCTCCCTTGGTCACAAACAGGTCTATTTGTTTCACTTTTGTGACCTAGCAGAGTGCCTGGCACGTTGTTTCAGGAAAATAAAAATGTCCCTGGTCTTTGCTTCTCAAAGTGCGGTCCAAGGACTGACCACATCAGTGTCACCTGAGCTTGTTAGAAACGCTCCAGACCCACTGAAGCAGGTGAGCACCCACACTGTAATGGCGGAGGTGCCGGTCCAGATCTTCAGAGGACTCAGGTCTGGGAACAGGTGGTGGAAGCCGATATGAGGGGACACTGAGGCGCCCCAGAGATTAGCAATAGCAGGATGCACCGCACACCCAAGGCTGGAAAGACAGCAGGAGGAAGGGAGGTGCCAGGATTCCAGGGCTGGGGCTGTCCAGCAGGGTGCCGCAGAGAGAGGGTGCTCAGGGGTGGGAGCTGGAGCCTCGGTGGGGACGTGGCAGCTGGCAGAGGAGCCACAGTGAGAAGAGCGTGGGGCATGAATTCCCACTGCTCTCCTCTTGGGTCTCCTGTCTTCTGCAGATGCCTCGCAACGGCCAAACCTACCTGGCAGCCAGAGGTGGGGGGCTGGAGAGATGTGGTTCCTTGGGACAGAGAGCAGAGCAGGGAAGGGTGGTGGAACACACACGTGCTGTCCCTCCCTCCCACCCCCATCCACCCCTGTAGCCAGTAGACAGTGTGGGACCCCCCCACCGACCAGCCAGCAAGTCAGCCCTCCCAGTTCACCTGCGGGTGTTCTTGCTCCTGGATATTCTCACCCCACCCCAGGGGCTGCTCATGGAGAGATGGCCCAAGCCTTGGGTGGGCAGCAGTGTCAGATCTCTGCCTGGCCAGCCTCTGTGGTTCCCCTGGGCCAGCCCGAGCCACCCTTCTGCTCAGCCTGGCCTGGAAGTCTACGGGCAATCACACTCCTTCCCCAGCCGCCCCCACCCGACTCGCTGCCTGCTCTTCACACCTCGCTGGCATGGCTAGAAGTGGGAAAAGCTTTCCAGGCCCTTATCCACTGGGGAGTACCAGGGGCATAGGAAGGGAGAGGCCTGAGAGCCGCCCTGGGGCGGCATGGAGGGCCTGGGCATCCGCGCAGCTGGGGGCCAGGGAGGCAGGGGTATGATGTTTTATGTTCGATCAGGCAGGAGTAAGAAACAACTCAGCAGTGGGTCCTCGGCAGACACGCAACCTGCACTTGTTGGGGGACTGAATCAACCAGCGTCACGGACTCTGTCCATAGGGCCCCGGTGCCGACCTTACTTACAGGTCTTCTGAACTCCAGAATTCCTGTCTTTTGTAGAGAACTCCCAAAGGCCCTTGTAAGAAAGGCTGATAGGAAAGCCAGGATGACAGGACGCCCCGGGCCCCGCGTTTCTGTACCTCTGGCCAGGGCGCCTAGGGTCTAGGGAGGCAGGTCTTCCTGCCCTGTGGCCTGGCCTCGCAGGCAGCAGTGTAATGCCATTCCATCCTGTCTACTGCTGGGGATCAGTTTCCTCATCCAGGGCTGGCAAGGGTTATCTGGTTACCCAGAGACTCCTGGGAAACTCCCAGGGGCTGTTGCCAGGGGAAGATTAAATGTCTCAACGAGCATATTCTTGCAGGCACCTGGCCAGCAGCTCACCTGGAACCTGCTGGGTTCCAGGCAAATCCTGTCAAGATAGGGCCCTCCTTCCCATGCCATAGAGCAGCAGGCATAGCTCTACCCGTTTACCTGGGCCTCAAGGTGCCATCCATGCCCCCCCACCAGTACACACCTGCCCTTCAGGAGCCAGCCAGCTGGTCCAGTGGTCCTACTAATGTCTCGAGAGGCATCTGAGGGTCCTTTTGGTCCTTGTGGCCCACCTCTCTCTGGCTCCTCCTACCCTTAGTCTCCACTCCTGGGTGCGCCCACTGAGCTCCCTCCTGTGCAGCCTACGCTGGCCAAAGTGGGGCAGGCAGGGGGAGAACCATGGAGCAGAGTCTACACAGCACTGTGGGATCCTTTCCTGTCCTGTCAGGAGCACCCGTTGTGACTCCTGGGCTTGGCACCTCCTGGTGCCCACATTCCTGGCCTGGGGTCCTGACCTGGGGCACTCAGAGCTGTCCCCTATGCCAGTCCTGCCTGGTCTGTGTGCATTGTCTCAGTGAGTCTAGTCTGGGGGGGTGTCACGCCTCCAGCTGCCACGCATTCATCCAACAACTATAGCAGTGTGCCCCGCCCTGGGCTGGCATCAGTCACAGTGGCTGCCCTGGGCAAGCTTGCTGTGTAATCAGGAGGGGCGCAACACAGTCAGCCCCTAGAAAGTGGCTTCTTCCTCCCCTTAGTTGGAGGCTTCTGTTGAGGGAGTCTGAGCCAGTTAACAGGTGCAAGAGAGGAATTAGAAAACAGAAAGTTAAGGAGAACATGAGTAAGGCCAAAAGAACAATCTTAACTACACACTCTAGAGGCATATGTGGGTGTGAAAAACCCATCAAGTGGGTGGTCCTGTATTTCACACGCCTTGGGCACATCCAGCAGCCCATTGAAAGCAAGAACTTGCAAGTGGATTTAAAAAATGAAATTCAGGGTGGGCAAAATGTGTGAAGGGGGTCAAAAGGTACAAACTTCCAGATACAATATAAATAAGTCCTGGGCATGTAATGGACAGCATAGTGACTATAGTTAACAATACTGTATTGCATATTTAAAGTTGCTAAGAGAGTAGATCTTAAAAAACAAATTCTGTAACTATGTGTAGTGAATGATGTTAACTCGATTTATTGCGATCATTTCGCAATATATACAAATATTGACTCATGTTCTACACTTGAAACTAACATAACGTTATATGTTGATTATATCTCAATAAAATAAAACACGAAATTCATTCCTTAGATTCTTTGACATTTCCTAGTTGGACACAGAGTGCTCTGGGCACACAGAGAGAGGCTCCATCTACTCTAGGGATTATGTACTGTTTTTTGACCTTTTGGTGACATGCTAGAACAGCAGGAGAAGCAATTTTCTGCCTCGAAATGTTTCAGCTGATCTTAACCAAGTTCCTGAGCTGTTCCCTACTAAGTGGGGCCTTGTCTGAGGGAGAGAGGAAGAAAGGAAGGAGCCCACTTTGATTTATGACAGGCCAGAGCAATCTCTGAGGGCTCAGAGAGGGCCAGTACAGAAGACAAATGGGGCAGGATGGAGATCTCCATGAAACCCAGAGACGTTCTTAGTGAAGAGCCATTGGCGTCGAATATGTGTCCCGGGGTCTGGTCTCAGTGACCGCCCCACCAGCCCTGGTTTATCTAAGCATTGCATGAGTGGCACTGGAAGATTTCTGAATGACAACCCTGCATTTGAATTGACTTTGCCTTTTGATGTGACTGTAAACATGTCAGCTTTGCAGGCAGAATCCCAAAGCTGTAAACACTGTAAATTCCCTCTCACATCGGCCCAGCAGGTCTGGCATTCCAGCTGCGCCCCAGCTGATGCAAGGACCTGGGAGGTGACCAGGCACCTAGCATCTCTGAGACTCAGTTTTCTCACCCAGAGAATGACAGTCCTAAAACTTGCTTCCTTCATGAGACAGTGTGTAGAGCACTCTAGCAGGCCTCCCCCAGCATGGGGCCCCAGGCTTGCAGAAGCTGCTGAAGCAGGAGAGGCCACGTCCTGGCTTCGCCTGGGGCTGCAATGTTTGTGGCACAAATGCCTGCACCGTCCCTCCAGGACACTGGGGTCAGCCAGGCCTGCACTGCTGTGGGCAGCCGTGTGACCTTGGGCAACTCTTGCCCTGCCAGCCCCCTTCCTTATCTATAAAATGGAGATAGCAATGGCAGCCACCTTGGGTGCAATGCTCTAATTTGACAAGAGTCATGAATCACCCCCCACCACACCTGGAATACAGCGGGCTTCAGCAACGTCCGCCCCCTTCTTTTTCACCTGGTTGCTGAGGGCTTGGGGTGGGTAACAGGGCTCTCCCTCTCTTTCTGGGGCCCAGGCAGCTCTTGTCACTGCCCCCTTTGTGGCAGAATGAGCCCCTCTCCAAGCCCTCTGGGAGGGGGCAGAGCAGCAGTGGGAGGTAAGGCAGGTGTGGGGGCCACAGCCCTTTTCCCAGAGAGGGCAAATGAGCTGCCGTGAACAGGAGCTCTCGGCCAAACATGGCCAGCCGCACGGTGTCCAGAGGTCCCAGCTCCCCCTCTTTCAGGGGATGTGGGGCTGGTTACTGGTAGGGCAGTGGGTTGGTAGGAAAGGTGCTTATTCTCTCCTCTTGGAAGACCAGCTAACTCCAGGCACTGCTAGCAGTTTCAGGCAGCCAAAGTCAAGGACTGGTGATGGCTGGCACCCTCAACATTAGGGTTCTTAAACTCAGCAGAAAGCTTCAGGGGACCCCAGTCCCCTCTCCTGTCTTCCCTTCCCCACTTGGGCCAGTGCAGGCTTCGGGCTGAGCTCCGGGTCAGCACACAGATGTACCTCTGCGAGCCCTCTGGGGCCTCACTCCTCTCTCTGCCTGCCCACTACTCAGCCCTGTGTCTTAACATCGATCCCCCAAGGCATGTTGGAGTCACTTGGGAGTTTAACAAGTTACGGCCCCTGGAGCCCACCCCCAGAGACTCTGATTTAGTTGGCCTGGGGTGTGGCCTAGGCACTGGGATTTTTTAAAATACCGCCTAACACAAAGTTTTAAGCATTGACCTGCATCTTTATGCCAGTGCCTTCCATGCACACACCTGGACTCACAGGTGAGCCCCGCTCCACCCCTCCCACTCACTCCAGGTCCCCTTGGCTCCAGGCTCTAACGTCTGCTCTACACGTTGCTACTGCTTTGCAGGCTGTGTGTAGGAGCAAAGTCTCCCACCCTCTCCGACCTGCAGCTGCTCGGGGCCAGGTCTGGATTCAGGCACCACCCAGGCCGGTCTGAGTCCCTGAAAAGCGGGGAAAAGGGGTAGTGATGGGGGGTCCAGGTACCCGGTGCTGAGGGGCAGAGGGGCACAGGAGAGGAGCCTGGTGGCAAGGGCTGTGATGAGCAGAAGCTATGAGGTATGGGGGCCAGGCAGAGGAGGCAGGGTTCTTAGCCCGGGGTCTCTGGGTAGAATTTAGGGCATCCATGAACTCAGGTGGGAAAAAAAAATGATCCTGTTGTTCGCACTAACCTCTAGCTGAAATTTAGCGTTTCCTTTCATTATGAACCAGTGGAAATCACCGCTACTTTTATACACCAGCAGAGTTGTTGCAGATCAAGGCGCAATATTGGTTTTGCTCATCACTACTTCAAAACGACGGCCCTGCCGAGACCCACCACCTGATCTTGTTGATTTGTTAAGAAGCACGCAGGTTACTCCACCACAAATTCATTGTCTAATATTTTAGTGAGATTTCACTGTAATTGGCTTCCTTTGTAATCCTGTGTATTTTATTTCATGGATTGAAAACACTCCTGAAAAGGGCTCCAGAGGCTGTGCAGGACTCCAGAGGCCCCTGCACAGACAAGCTTAGGAACTGTAGAGCAGAAGGTGAAGCAGGGAGTGTTCAGGGACCAGGAGACGGGAGCCCTGATGGTGGGGGCTGGAGGTGGCCTTCCCAGGCCCCCTCAAGGGCTGCCTGGGCATTGTAAGAACAGCCCATTCCACTGGAAGATGCCTGTCTGTGCCGGGCCTGGTTGTTCAGCTTTGCCTAGGTCCCCTGAGCCAGCCGAGCCAGCCAGATTCTGACAAGAACTTCCCGGCCTCGAGGCCCCACTGTTTGTCCTGACCCCTGAGCCCCAGCATCTGGCCGCAAGTCCTGCCTTCCCCTTTCCTCAGATAAACTGTGATTCCTTGCAGCCAGCAGAGCTGACCAACACCGTGAGGGTGGAGAGTCTACGGGAGGACTGGGCCGCCCAGAGACCAGGGGACCCCCGTGTGTGGCAGCTGCCCCCGAGACAGAGTCTGAGCAGGTGGGCTGGGCTAGGGGCAGTGCCTCACTGGAGAGGCAGGAGCGGCCTTGGCTGCAGGCCAGGCCCGGGAAGCTGCTGGGCCTTCTGGGAGGGGGGACGGACCAAGAGGTGGGAGACAGGTGCGGGGCTGACTTCCAGTGCCTCAGGGGTCCCCACTCCCCCACCAGGTGACACAAAGGGAAGGGAGGCCCAGGCTCATGCCCCTTAGCGCGGACCCCCAGCCAGGCCTGCCCCTCTGCTCTTTTCACTCCAAGAGGCTATGGTCTCTACCAGGAGGCTCGGCATGTCCCTGATCATCTAAAAGCTTCTCGGAACCCTATTCTGAGAGCAAAACTTTCACAGCTTCTCCCCGAGGACCAACCGAGGACCAGGAAGCCTCTGACTTCACACCAGTGTGAAAAGCAGCTGCTGCCACACGTCACCACTCCAGGACTCTGCGTCGGCAGCAGTGGGCAGGGGTGAGTGACGGCAGATGGGATTGAAGAGAGAGAGCCCCCTTCCCCACAAGTCCCCGAGGACAGGCCAGGGCGAGGAATTCCCAGATTGGTTTTGTAGTTTTATTTATGTGATTTAATTGATACCAGTGCATCCTTTAAAAATGAAATTGCACTGAAAAGCTTACACGAAAAATAGTCCTCTGTCCCATCTCTCCTTCTCCCTAGTCCCACTTCCTGGAAGCAACTGGTTTCAACCCTTTAGGAGTTCTGCTATCTATCTCCATATTTATAAATAAAAGGCTTATGCTGCTGGATATTGTTCAGAAGGATGTGGAAAGAAACTTTTCCTGCTGTTGGTTAAGGCCTCAAAGCAGAAGTCAAGAGGCTTAAGGGTCCCCACATTCTAGAAATAATGTCACAGAGCTGCTTGAAGACCCTCTAAGGCCACCTCAGAGGAGCCCAAACTGGCCCTTGCCCCCACCCCCAGCCAGCCCCAGCATTTGTGGGGAGTGAGCTGGTGTTCTTCCGCCCATGGAGCTGGAGGCTGGGTGAGTCCCCCAAGGATATATGGCTCTGCTACTTGTTGGGGGACCCCGGATTTCAGTTTTCCCAGAGAGGAGCAAGGTGGAGAAGAGGGCTGGTGGGGGAGGGAGATATACCAGCATCCACTTAGACTCCTGTTTTGGCTCAGTACCCCCAGTGCAGAGGCCCCTGATTTACCCACTTCAGAGAAGACCCTCCAGTCTACTGTGAGGGGAGACAGCTGTGCAGGGGGCGGGGGACGCCGAGGGCTCTCAACGGTGCTCTGCAATCCTCGTTGTCGGCCTCCCCTCCCTTCACCTCTTCTGAGGTTCCTGGTGTTGCTCACGGCAAAGCCTCTGGTGGATCCTGCAGGCCTGTGGATGTTCAGTGTTGTTCCCATTGCTAGTTTAGGACTTGGGCTTCCTGGGGCTTCTGAGTCAGTTTCCACTCATACACCTGCTTCTATGTTCCAGATTTTTGTTGTTGCTTCCTCTGTCGTTCTGCTTATCTTTGAGGGTTTATGTCAGTAAAATTCATTTACTGTGATTTTAGTGGAAGTTTTGGAGAGAGAGCAAAATCAATTCTTGTGTTCCATCTGCCGTCTTTATCCAGAAGTCCCCAGTTTGGTTTTTGCTCCGGGGTACCATCTGAGGCTGTGTGTTGTACGTTCTCCCCCTTCTCTATAAGCTCAGAGGACGGGTGGGGGCAGGAGTGGACAGAAGGCCGACGGGTGCTGGACCGAGGCACTGCCAGTCTTTCTTAGGATATCTGCACTCTGCTCTCTCTTCTAAAAATGGTTAATTAATTAATGAGTAGGCTGGGTTTTTATTATTTATTTTCTAGCTTACAGGGAGAGAGAATATCCATGAGGAAGTTTTCATTGTCTATTGAATCCATGCCTTGGAAGTCTCTCCATAAACATCCTGTGCATCAATTTGGTCCTTCTTGAGGCTTATTTTCCCAAACTGCCTGAAGCAGGATTCTGGGGTGTGGGCCTGGTCAGGGCTGTGGACCCCTGCTCTGAGGGTTGGCCTCCCCCTCCACAGCCCAGTCCTTCCACACAGCACAGCCACCGTGCATGCAGCCACACCCTGGACTGCGCTGAATCAAAAAGCCCAAATTAGAACAAACTGCCTTAAATTGGGGGCTTAAAATGAAAACGTTATTTGATTTTACAGAACCTTAAGCCTAAAAACCTAGAAGTTTTTTAAGCACACTCGCCCTTCGACCCCCTCCTCAAATCACAGGTCTAATTGAAAAGCACAGTCAGAGCTTCAGACTCCTCTCCCCAGCAGCCCAGCCCTGAACTGGAGATTCCTTGTGTTCAGCTTTCTGATCTTTAGACTTGTTGCACAGAAGTGATGCCTCCCTGTGAGGAAGAATCCAGGCCTCGGCACTCCTGAGTGTTCTGTTTCCAACCTCATGGAAGAAAGCGGAGCTGTCTTTCTCTCCATCACAGGTTTTGCTGCCCCTGCCTCTGGTTAGTGCCGTTGGAGAGGCTAGACCCCAGGGGGCCTGGGTGGGGCCTTGGGCACTTCTGAGCCCCTCCTGGGTCCAGCACCTGCTGAATACACAAAGACAGAAGTCTGCAGGGCTGGGCTTTGAAGAGGAAACTGGCATCAAGAGAGATGAAGCTGCCCTCAGAGCCAGGCCTCAGGCAGCTTGAGAAAGGTGGAGGGGCTCACCTGAGTGTGTATGTGCCTCACGGAGGGCCACAGCAGCAGGAGCAGGTCTCATCGAGGGACAGCCTCTCCCCACCCTTCTGCCTCCCCCTCTGCCCTGGTCTTGGCCTCAGCCACCCTCTGCTCAGAGCTGGCTCCTGACCAGACCATGCTCCAGGGCTGTGTTTGGGTGGGGCTGACCTGGGTGAGGCCCAGGACAGTCTCCCTTGAGCCTTCCTGCCCGTGCCCCTGCAGCTTCACAAGGGGAGGGACCGTGGCTGGCACCCCATAGGCCATCCCCTGCCCTGCCAGCCACTAGGTCCTGCCCCCTGCCCGTGTGTGTAGAGCCCATGAGCAGGGGCACTTTCGGCCAGCTCGTGAGGGCTCACCCAGATGATGTTCTTGTTGCTTTTGATTTGGAATTCCTGGGACTTCAAATTCAAGAAACCTTGAAATATCAGGGTGGGAAGGGCTCAGCCAGACCTGGGAGTGGGGTAGGCAGAGGAGGGAAGGGAAAGTCAGCCAAAGGTGCCATTTCAGGCAAAGTCCCAGCCTCTGCCTGATCCTGCTGGGAACTCTGGGGTATAAACTACCCCTGGGAGTTGATCAGCCTCTAGACAAGCGAGCTGAGCTTCCCTTCACCAGCAGTTCTCGGCTACGGGCTTCCCCGGAGGTCCACAGACCCCCAAGCATTTCCAGCTCACTCCAGAGCCCAAGGGATGGGAAACTCCTAGACGCCAGCCTCAGAACTGGCTGGGTGCACAGGAGTGGTGAATGGTGGCCACAGCACCCAGGCAGAGCACCAAAAACGCTTGCTGCATTGAGCAAGTAATTGGAATTCAATTCTCCAAAAGACACCTGGTGCTCAGTGGGACACTGAATCCCAGAGTGGGAAGGAAGGTCAGAGGTCATTACAGGTAGACTCCCAGCTTCTGCCACACCCTCTCTGGGGCTAGGGAGAGTCCCTTCCCCCCCAAAGGTTTAACATTCCAGATTTGCCATTCTTTCTCAAGTCCACCGAAGTGTCTTGTCTTCCAGCCTGTGTGGTTGAGCTGACCCACAAATTGCTAGAAGGGCTTTGGCCAATGTCTCTCAGATGACTGCTGTGACCCGAGAACTCAGCCAGCCAGCACCCCTGCCCATCCATTCTAGTAGACTTTTAGGAAAGAGACGATCTGGCATGCAGAATTTCTAGTGAATCTAGCCACTGCTCCCTTTCTACATGCTCACAGGTTTTAGAATTGACCAGCAATCAATGTAAAGGCCTGAGTGTCTAGAATTTGCCTTTCCTGCTTTCTATGTAGTGGGATATTTGTCCCCCTTATCTCCCTTGGTGCCTCCCCTACCCCTGAGGGCTCTGGGGTCAAGGACTGCACCTGCTGTGTTCGCCACTACATCCCGAGGTCTCTCCCGGTACCCAGCAAACAGGAGGAGGTGCTAGGTGACTGTGCATTGAGCAGAGCTGATGTCACAGGGAGATTTTTGTAAAACAAAGTGTGAGAATGAGCTTTGTCTTAGCCTGGATTCCCTGGAAAATAGAGTCTGAGGCAAAGCTTAGATGCTAACACTGTCTGAAGGAGCGAATCCCAGGGAAGCAGGAGTGAGGCAGGCAATGACAGAGGGAAGGCGTATGGGAGGGCATGACTGAGCTGGCCACAGCACTGTAATAAGCATGGTGATTGCTCAGCCACGTAAGATGTCTTCAGGTGCCAAGAAGTCTGCCTCAGAAGAGGAAGGGAGAAAAACTGACGCACACACTTCCACCTGCCGGTTGCTGTGTTTACTGGGTGGCCATGCCGGGGGCGTCTCCACCCCGGCACTTGTGTGTGGTGCACTCCAGGGCCCAGCAGGCACCAGAGGAGCTGAACCCCAAGGCCATGGTGGCACATCTTTGGCACGGATTGGTAAGCCAGCCATTTGGCAGAAGCCAGTGGTACTCCCACCTGCCGTCCTGCAGCCTGCAGCTCTGTAGGCTGGCCCAGCAAGCCCATAAGCATGCATAGGCATGAAGTGGGTCTGCAGCTGCTTGCGTCTCGATAGGGACAAGCTCCAGGATGGAAGAAAGAGTCATGCAGCATGAGCAGGGGTGGTGGGACCCGGGGGGGGGGTGCCACAGGGTCAGGTGGCTGGGTGGGTGGGGCACTAGGCAGACATGGCCTGTACCACAAGGCTGTGCCCAGCTCAGCAAACTCCATCCAATGAAGATCCAAACCTTCCCTGTGCCTGAAGGATGTGGTAGTGCCAGGTGGCCCTCCACACGGAAGGGTCACCTGTAACATCAGGCAGACAACAGTGACTGAGCAAATCCAGGAAGGTACATGAACTAGGTCTAGCGTGAGCATTTTCTCAGCAGCTGTAGGAGAAAAAGCCACCCCTCCATCAGAGCTGGGTGCCTGGCCCACACCCGCTCAGGTCCTCTAAGCCCTGGTTCCCGCGGGGAGGTGTTGGGAAGCAGCAGAGGAGGACCTGAGACTGCAGAAGAGGGGGTGGTAGATCAGGAGGGGAGTGGCTGGGGGGCCCAGTGTTAAGGAGTTGGAGCATACTGCCCAGAACCTTCCACAGCCCAGAAGGCAAGAGTGGGCATTATGGAGCTAAGACATATGCAGCTTGAGAGGGTGGTTCTCATGGTTTTGGCTGCCCTGACTCAAAGTGGTTTCCACAGTGAGCATCACTGGTACTGTGTATTAAAGGTGGCCTCAGGGCCGGCCCGGTGGCTTAGCAGTTAAGTGCGTGCACATGCTCCGCTACTGGCAGCCCGGGTTCGGATCTCGGGCACGCACCGACACACTGCTTCTCCGGCCATGCTGAGGCCGCGTTCCACATACAGCAACTAGAACGATGTGCAGCTATGACATACAAATATCTACTGGGGCTTTGAGGGGAAAATAAAAAAAAAAAAAGATGGCCTCAAATTTCCCGACACTCTACCCATTGAAAGGTGAGACCTGTGTCCCCTCCCCTTGAGTCTGGGCAGGCTTTGTGACTGCTTTAGCCAGTAGACTACAGCGGATGTCATGTCATATCACATTCTGGGCTCAGGCCTTAAGAGACTGAAAGCTTCCACTTCCTGTCTCTTGGAATGCTCTGTGTGGGGAGCCCCAGGTGCCATGCAAGGAGTCTGATGATGAGAAAAGCCACAGGCACCTGCTTTAGTCAACAGGCCCAGTGGATCCCAGACTTCCAGCCCCCCGGCCAGTGCCAAGCACATGAAGGGAGCCGCCTTGGATCTCAGTTCATGCATTGTGCACAGAACTGCCCAGCAAAGCCCTGCCCCAATTCCTGACCCACAACATTGTGAGATCTAACAAAGTGGTTATTGGTTGCAGCCTCTACGCTTTGGGGTAGCTTGTTACATGGGAGCAGACAACCAGAACTGGTGGCTGAGTCTCAGCCCACTGGGCCCCAGCCCTGCTTCTCTGCGGTGCCCTTTGCTCTGCCTTCCTCTTTTTTTTTTGTGAGGAAGATCAGCCCTGAGCTAACATCCATGCCAATCCTCCTCTTTTTGCTGAGGAAGACTGGCTCTGAGCTAACATCTATTGCCAATCCTCCTCCTTTTTTCCCCCAAAGCCCCAATAGATAGCTGTATGTCATAGTTGCACGTCCTTCTAGTTGCTGTATGTGGGACGCGGCCTCAGCGTGGCCGGAGAAGCAGTGCATCGGTGCGCGCCCAGGATCCGAACCCAGGCTGCCAGTAGCGGAGCGTGCACACTTAACAGCTAAGCCACGGGGCCAGTCCCCTCTGCCTTCCTCTTCACTGGGCATCATCTTAGGCTCAGACTAAAACGGCCACACTTACTGGTGAGTGACCCTAGCCTAGATGAGGCAAGGGTCACTTCCAGAAGTGACACCTCCAAAGAAGAAGAGGGATTTCCTCTTCTTAGGAAGGCCCCAAGTATTCATCCCTTAAGATGGGGTCGAATGCCCACTCATAAACCAATTGCTAGCAAGGAAAATGGCGTTATTATCACAACTGGTTTAGATCCGCGCTATCTAATACAGTAGCCTCTAACTACATATGACTATTTAAATTAAAATTTAAATTAAACAAAATTAAAAATTCAGTCCCTGAGCTGTACCAGTCACATTTCAAGTGCTCAATAGCCACACGTGGCTAGTGGCTACTGTATTGGACAGCACATATCATAGAACATTTGCATCATTGCAGAAACTTCTATTGGACAGCACTGGTTTAGATGAACCATGAAGGGAGTTGGGAGGGTAAATTTTGGGAAATCAAGCACAACGGTCACTACACTGGATGGGGGTCAAGGGATGGACAGGAGGAGATAGCAGCCATGTCTGTGCCCCCTTATTTCAGCAGTAAGTTACGTTTCTGATTCCCTATAAACATCAGGGCCTCTTGCACTCTCCCTAGGGCAGGACTCAGACAGCAAAAGACAAGAAAACTAAGGCCTAACAGCACTTACAAAGAGCAAAGAAGGATGCAAATTGAATCTAGCAGCACATCTAAGATTAATATACCATGACTAAGCATGGCTTCTACCAGAATTGCATAGAAAGATACAATATTAGGAAATTGATTAATATAACAGACATATTGACTGTTTAAAGGAAAAAAATCATATGAGCATCTCCATGGATAATCAGAGGACATTTGATAAAATTTGACATTTATTTTTCTTGTTCTCTAGATGAGCTCTGCCCCTACCTGGGGGCTGGTCAGGAGCCTCTCTGCTGTGTATTCAGATGGTGAAGGTATGATACTGGGGGGACACTGGGATGCTCTCAAAGAAACTGGAGATAATAGAAATAATGTTGTCCCTCAAAAATAAAATAAGACTTCACACACTCAATTGTATGCATGCCCACCCTTAAGCAAACCTGGACTTGTCTGCGATAGAGTGTGGTTAAAGTCTCAGGGAGCCCCATCACTCCTCCTGGTGATCTGGGGTCTCCTTCGCAGGCAGTGCTGGGGTGTGACCGTCATGTACAGAGAGAAACCTAGCCAGGCATCACACGCCTGACCAGGGGGACTATCTGCCGGGACCATCAGCCCTGAGCTTCCTCAAGTGGCTACTTAGAAGTCAAGTTCCTCAGCCCTCCTGGGACCGGGCACGGCCCAAAGTGGCTGGAGACCCCGGGCTGTCCCCTCTGGCCCTCTACACGCCCCGTCAGTTTAACCTTAGCGTGTATTGCAGAGATGAGCGTGTTTTCTGTGTGCCATGATGAGAGAACTGTTGGGAAGCCTGGCCCAGGTAACGTGACCCTGACACGGGAAAGCATTCTTCCAGGGCCCGGAATGTCAATTTCCGGTGAGCCCGGGGGAGTAAATCCGCTCACATCTGGGAGGGTCACGGGCGCACTCTATTGCATTTGCCAGGACTGTGGCACCCTGGGGCCCCTCAGCTGATAGTGCCCTGCCTCTTGGACACACCCAGCCCACCTGCCTCTGTGCACCAACACAGACCTGTTTCTTAGGACAGCCACTGTGTGACCCCTTCTCCCCCCTCCCCCCAGGCCTGATGACCAGCGGTACTCCTCACACCTCACTGCACTTCCCCACACCCAAGTTCCACCCAAACATCCTGGACTCTGTCCCTGACTCCTGACCATTCCCTGGAGACCACCAACTCAGCCCTCACTTGTCCTTAGTCTCCTCCTTCTCTACCCTGGAAGCCAGGGCTGGTAGCAAAGGTCAAGCTGAGGAGATAAGACTGACACACCCCAAACAACCACAGGCCACACCAGCCAGAGAGCTACAGAGTAGGGTGGCCCAAAGGGAGAGACTAGGGTGTCCTTCCTGGAGGAAGTGGGGCTGAAGTGGATTCAGCCTGTGTCTATCATTTAATGGACAACACAAAGAAACACACAAAGATACTCTGGCCACTGAGGAACGCAAGTCCACTGTCAGGCCGGTCTGGAGTTCCTGGCACGGCCTTCCCACCTCACCTGAGCAGGCCCGGGGCCACACACACGCATCCCTCCCTGGCCAGGTTACAGAACCTGGCTCATGTAGCTACTGCATAGACCAAGCCAGGCCTCAGGGGACAGCAAGCCTGGCTGGAGGGCCACCAGGCCCTTCTTTCCTGGACTTTCTGGCTCTCATTGAGGAGAGAACTGCAGGCTGCACAGGCAGTACTCAGACAGGGAGTCAACTCTGCCCCCTGCATTGTCTGCCGAGGCCCCTGGATGACCAGCTGGCTCCCATAGGGCCCTTCCCAAGTGCCTCTAACATCCTGTCTGGAGGTCTGCTCTGGCACTAGGTGCTAGTCAGGTGGTCACTGGCGAGCAGCCCCAGGAGCCTCTGAGATGAACTCACCCTAACCCAGCCACAGTAGTGAAGATGTCTGCTGACCCTTCAAAACCAGGTCACGTGTCCCTCCCCAGGTGACTCTGTCACTCCTTCTCTGTCATAGACAGAGATTGATTGTGCTGTCCCTCTCTCCCCCTGCAGGAGCTGAGGCCCTGCAAGGTGGGGTCATGCTTCAGTCATTGCTGCAACCTCAGTGACCAGTGGAAGGCCTGGAGGCCATTGAGCAAGTCCACCTGGACGGCAGTGGAGTCCCACCTCGCTGGCTCAGCCATTCCTACACTGTGGTCCAGGGAACTGGAACTAAAGATGTTCCCTAAGCAAAGGTGGATGATACATGTTTGTTTTCTTTCACATAGCTAGCCACTGTACCAGCACAATTTATTAAATACACGTGCTGTTCCCACTACGATGAACTACCCCCTAAATTATATATTCTATACTCATGCAGGCTGCAGTATATTTCTAGGTCCTCTAATTAATCAGTCCCTCAATCCATTTACCCATGCTTATGCCAATACCACACCAATTTGATTACAGAGGCTCTAGATTATGCTCACGCTAAGTGAAGTCTTACCTCAATATTCTCGTTTATTTCTTGGCTGCTCTTGGGCATTTATTCTTCCAGATAAATTTTAACGTTATTTTATTAAATCTCCTTTCCTCCAAAGAAAAAAATTACTATTTGGGATTGTTGGAATTGCTTTAAATGGAAGAGATTGATTTTAGGCGAACTGACATTTATATTTTAGTTTCCCATCGTTATGCTTTTCTACTTGGTCAGATCTTATTTCCTCTTTCATTAAGACAAAGATATAGTTCGTCTAAAATGTCAATTGTGTAGCCTTCTTACGAAATTTATTTATAAAGGTTCTTGTTGCTAGAGTAGACAAAAGCCATCGATTTTGGCACGTTTAGTTAGGTTAGTTGAGCAAACTTTCCAAATTCACCTACTCCAGAATTTGTTTTTTACCAGAGTCTCTTTGGTTGTCCAGTTATAGGAGAAACAGATGGCTTTATTTCCCGTTATCAGATGTTCATACCAGTTATTTCATTTTCTCATTTTCTCTCCTTGAATCTCCTAAACAATATTAAGTAATAATGGTGACAGCTGGGTCTGCCTCTAGTTCCCAATTTTAATTGAGGTGGTTCTCTCTTTTCTTCATTTATGGAAATATTTACTGTTGATTTTGGTACCTCAAAATTCTTGTTCTAAGGTTAACCTACTATCCTGTTAATACTCGATCAGGGTCTGAAACCAATTTCCAAAATATTCAAACTGAAATCTTATCCTCTTTAAAGAACAAACACAAGGGGAGAGGGAAGTTGACCTTTTACCTTACGTAGTTTCGACCTAACGCCCTGTAGGGTTGGGCCCCAGGTTAGTGTGTTGGGGCCCAGGGGAGCACGTATTCTCAAGGAGGGTCCTGGGGTCCGGGTAACGGCGTCAAATGCATCCTGGAGTCCCAGGCTCGGGGGACTGACCGCCGTCTGCCTTTGGGCGTCTCTGCGACCCGAGCCCTGGGTACAGCGGGCCTTCGCGCCGCGTCCCCCGCCCCTTGCTCGGGAGGCGATGCCCTCACACCCTCCTAGCTCCCGGCCCCTTTCAAGCGGTTGCCAATGTGCGGGGCCGGAATCTGCGGCACCCAGCGCCCGGGGGTCCCCGCTCGGCACCCGCAGCCCTTAAAGCTGCCCGACGCCACCACCGGCAGCACCCTCGGGCCGCCGGGGAGCAGAAGGCGCCCATCGCGCAGATGCGGCGCAGGCGCGCGGAGCCGCCGGGGCGTCCTCCAGGGCACCCGGCGAGCCAGCACGCCCGGCGCGGGCCCCGGAGCCCCGCTCCGGTCCACGCTGAACCCTCCCCGCGCGAAGGCAGAGAGCAGCCCTGGGGGGAGCCCACGGACCGCCGCAGGGGCCTCATCGCAATCACAGAGAGCGCTGCAGAGGCCTCACCCTGGCCAGAGCCCTGCATCTCAGTGACCCCGGGGCCTAAGAGTCTGCGGCTGCGAGGAAAGGAGGGGGGGCAGGGGCCTTGGAGAAGTGGCAATCCCATTAGAGGCTTTGCTGCCTGAACCACTACAAAAGAAGCCCCCCTCACCCCTACCACGTTCATTCCCGTCCCTTCCTCTCCTGGAGCTACCAAAGCATCTGACTCCTTCTTCAGCCAAAACATTCACAACTGCGTAGGTTTGATTTTCTCCTCCAGAAAATCCCTACATTTAAGGCAGTAGAAACAAACTCAAACGTAGTTTTTATAACCCAAGAAATTGACTGTAAAATGTCATTACAGGAAGAAATACATGCAAACAGTGGAGAAATTTTTGGGAAAAATAAAACCAAAAACAAGATCCAACAATATGCTGCGTCCAGGAAACACATCTCAGCTCCAAAGACAAACACAGGCTCAGAGTGAAGGGATGGAAGATGATACTCCAAGCTAATGGCAAACAAAAGAAAGCAGGTGTTGCCATACTTATATCAGACAAAGTAGACTTCAAGATAAAAAGGCAATGAGAGACAAAGAGGGGCAGTGTATAATGATAAAAAGGGACACTCGATCAAGAGGACATAATACTTATAAATATATATGCACCTAATACAGGAGCACCAAAGTACATAAAGCAGCTATTAACAGACCTAAAAGGAGAATTAGCAGCAACACAATAATAGTAGGGGACCTCAACGCCCCACTTACATCAATGGATAGATCATCCAGACAGAAAGTCAAAGAGGAAATAGTGGAATTAAGCAAAAAAACTAGACCCGATGGACTTAATAGATATATAGAACACTCCATCCAAAAGCAGCAGAATCCACATTTTTCTCAAGTGCACGTGGAACATTCTCAAAGAAGTTGGGGAACAAGGCAAGCCTCAATAACTTTGAGAAGATTGAAATCATCTCAAACATCTTTTCCAATCATAATGCTATGAAACTAGAAATCAACTACAAGAAAAAAGCTGGCAAAGTGACAAAGATGTGGAGACTAAACAACATGCTAGTTGAACAACAAATGGATCAATGAAGAAATTAAAGGAAAAGTCAAAAAATATCTGGAGACAAATGAAAATGAAAATACATCATACCAACTCATATGGGATGCTGCAGAAGTGGTTCTAAGAGGAAATTCGTAGCAATACAGGCCCACCTTAACAAACAAGAAAAATCTCAAATAAGTAATGTTCAACTACACCTAACAGAATTAGAAAAAGAAGAACAAAGCAAGCCCAAAGTCAGCAGAAGGAGGGAAATTATAAAAATTAGAGCAGAAGAAAATGAAATAGAAACAAACAAACAAAAAACAGTAGAAAGGATCAATGAAAGCAAGAGTTGGTTCTTTGAGCAGATAAGGAAAATTGACAAACCCTTAGCCAGACTCACTAAGAAAAAAAGAGAGAAGGCTCAAATAAACAAAACTAGAAATGAAAGAGGAGAAATTACAACAGACACCACAGAAATACAAAGGATTGTAAGAGAATACCGTGAAAAACTATATGCCAGGGCCAGCCCCATGGCTTAGCAGTTAAGTGCACGTGCTCCACTACTGGCGGCCCGGGTTCGGATCCTGGGCACGCACCGACGCACCGCTTCTCCTGCCATGCTGAGGCCGCGTCCCACATACAGCAACTAGAAGGATGTGCAACTATAACATACAACTATCTACTGGGGCTTTGGTGGAAAAAAAAAAGGAGGAGGATTGGCAATAGATGTTAGCTCAGAGCCGGTCTTCCTCAGCAAAAAGAGGAGGATTAGCGTGGAT